TCCCAACTTCCTAGAATGGCTCCAGTAACTTTCAGAACTCTCAATGTTAATAAAAGGTGCCTCCTAATTCGAGCATAGTGGAGAGTGAAACTCAAGTGATTAGCAAACATCTCCCAGTATTATGTAAAAAAAGTAGTGTGAAATTTTGATTCCCATTTAATCACGTCAAAAATATTTGAGTATTCCTCTTTAGAATGGTTTCAATATTGAATGGCTGATGCCTCTTACTGCCAGGACAGTACCCATTAAATTTAGTTTGTGTGAGGTCATATTTGACATTGTATAAAAATTATTTAAAAAAAATGGGATCGTTAGAGTCCATGCGATGACTGGAGAATGCTTTTTCTGATCAGCTTCAAATTTTCCATCCTGGCGTTTTGTCCAGAAAACAAAGATTGCTTTGCTTTTAGGCTAAACAATTCCCAATTTTTCCAGTTTATTTATTGTTTATTTTCATTCCATAAATAAGGATTCCATTATCTTATCAACATGCAAATATTAAAGATGATGCAGTAAATAAGATGGAATACGTCCTATAATTTTAAACTAGGTGCAAATTATAATTATTAATGAAATTGTTAAATAAAAATTTGGATAGTTGAATTTAGAGTAATTATTACTGGAGAATACCATTTCAGATAGGTTTCAAACTATCAGCTTGTATAGGATTCATAAAAGTAGCTTAGGCTTTACCTTTGATCTACGAAAATTTTAAATTGCCGTTTTTATTAAATAAACTGGTTTCTATTTAATAACTAGAGAAAGCTTTTTCTGGTCGGCTTTAAACACTTAACCGATTGTTAGTGTGGAAAATTAAATTTACCTAGATGTAACTCATAAGATACATACTAGTAAATGGTAACAAAGATAATTATTCTTTATCAAGGTTACAGAGACAAGTAGGAATTTTAGGACACCTAGGTCGCAAAAATGTCCTCCTTCGATATCTACGATAATCTATCTCTCCACAAGTCACTCTGGACATATATTAATTTCAAATGAAATATACATCACAAGGAATTCTGGTAAAAACATTAATATAAATATATGGAGTGCATATTAATTTAAAATGTGAATACATATGCATTGAAGGAGAATTTATAATAATAAAACTTACCAATTAGTCTGGAGATTATGGTGTGTCATACAAACACCCCTGCCTAAATTATGAAGAAAATACTGGCCAGAATTTCAACACAAAATAGACATGACTTAGCTGGGGTTCCAAAGCTGTCCTGTCCATCTGCGTAATGCTCACATTATGCAGAACTGCAAATCCAACAATTTTGGCTCCTATTTGAGAGGTTTTAAGCCCAATATAACCCCTAAAGCGACGAAAATTCTTCCAATTTTCAATAACATTTCTCTTGTTCCATTCAAAACATGGTGACTCTCCCCCCAGCGATGCTCACCCATCGCTGGTTCTTTATTACCTACAATATTGGCCATCAATTTACATATAAAATACACTGTATTTTTGGAGAATATACAGTATTTTCCACAGTTAGTAAATGCTTAAGAGTTTTTTTTATACTTTATAGCCTGCACTTAAATGGTCTATATAAATTTTTTTTATCAAGTTCAGCATAAAGTTTTTTTCTTGAACGACTGCAGAAAATTTTAAATTGATTACAGCCGAAAAAATATAGAAATATTAAAAATTCTTTATTTTACAGTGTTTTAAATTTTATAAATTTAGTGAACCCTTAAATACTACAGGATGTGATACAAGAGCCATCCCATTGTAAACTACAGTGTTCCCTTCCTATCAAACATTATTTTTTTAACTTAGAATCCCCTCTCCGATAGGTTTTAAATTTTCAACACTAATCAACTATTATTAGGCCAAATTTTGTAGAGTAATTGACATGTGCATTTGGCCTCTGCAGAAGTTTATATACATTATTCCGTGAAACTGTTTCCACGAGATAGCTAAAACCCTCTTCTGATCGTCTTCAAAATTTCAACAGAGACGCATCCTACTGAGAAGGTTGGCACTGTTATTGGACTGTGTAGGTGCCATTTTACCACTTTTAATCTATAAGTGATATATTAATATTTTGGAATAAATAACTGAATTATGCTTCTTGAAGAGGGGGAGGTCTTGATGCTGGTGAGGGACCCGTGATCCAAGGAAGTGGATCGAATCAAAATACCGCCCATTCCAAAGGTGCTATATCTCTACGGGTTTAACGTTTACCTGTGATTACAGTAAAATAATTGTCAATGGGATCAGTTTCAGTTTCCGAAGGATGATTCATCGTATGAAATCTTTTTGGGGGGTATATGATGAGTAGGTGCAAATTTTATTGGATTTTGAGCAATAGCTCGGGTTCAAATTCCGGCCAGTCGCAGTATGTTCTTTATATTCATACGTATAGGGACACCTTTTTATATTTATTTTACTGCTCTGGAATTTTATCACCACCTTGCACCATCACTTTCGCGCGGATAGAGGTAGAGGCGGCTGCTCTTATGGAACACAAAGATGCCTTTCTCCGATCAGCAACGACCAAAATAAACGCAGTTTCTCATGCTGTGCATTGTTGGATGCTGTGGAAGTCCTGCTGTTGCGCACTGGAGCGGAGGAGAGAGAGAGAGATACGTGATAATATATACCTGGAATATACTCGAGGACCTGGTCCCAAATCTGCACACTGCCATAACAACATACTGGAGTGAGAGATATGGGAGGAAGTGTAAAATAAACCCAGTGAGGAGCAGGGGTGCGGTGGGGACAATAAGAGAACACTGTATCAACATCCGAGGTCCAAGACATCTTACCAGAAGATATCATAAACACGGCTGGAACAAATGTAGAAGTCTTCACGAGGAAACTGGATAAGTATCTTCACCAGATATCAGATCAGCCAGGCTTTGATGGATATGTAGGGCAGCGGGCCTCCAGCAGCAACAGCCTGGTTGACCAGGCAAGCATCAGAGGAGCCTGGCCCATGGCCGAGCTCCGAGACTAATGAGACTCTCGAGACTCATCAAAGGTATATCAAAGGTTAAGGCGAGTTTTCATGAACAATCTAGAAAAAAATCTTAGAGGATTGGAAACTGAATGTCAGTACGAAAACACAACTATTAAATAATCATTTTCCTTCTTATGGAGTATTGAAGTTTGACAGATTTCGTTCAATCTGTCCATCTATATGGGTTTCCTGTTTTTTTTTTTTACAGTATGTTACCGCGTAAATATTTTTTTTTTAACTATTTTGCGTTCCACGTCTTGGGATTTCATATGTTAATCTACATTTCATATGCCTCCTAAGAGAGTTTATGCATTTCCTGTGACTTTGAGGGTATTAGGGCACAGAAGCAAGGTTTATTTTGTGTGTTAAGGTGTCTGTCTCTAGCACCTGGACTTCTTGGGATGGATGAAATAGCTTCTAGACATCTTGAGAGAGTTGAGCTGCAGCTGCTTTGCCTTCTGAGGTTTTAAGGTTCAACCACTAAACTTCTTGCGAGAGTTCAAGTTCAGTGTCTTGGGAAATGTAATACAGGTATCTCGAGGATCATGCTGCAAATGAATCATGTTTAACTGACTTAATGCGTGCAGTAAGCGTTTCCCGTACGTTTTTGAGTTGTGATATCTCGCCTACCTTGATAGGTTTGGCATTAACAGTGAGTTATTTTGACAGGCTTGAAACTCATCGACGGCACGAAGGGTCACATTTTACCTGTACACGAATATTTGTGGAAGCTTTAACTAACTTTGGGGTAGGTAAACTCTGTCTATATATGCTGAGAAAAAACACTACTCAGGGTATACATTCCGTACCAGGCATCTGTTGATTAAACGCCACTTTTTTTCTGACTAAAGACTGACATGATCACAAGTCTCTGATACTTATTTACGGCAAGGAAATAATCATTAACAGTAACTCTATATATGAACTCTGCTTCGAGGCATATTTGAGAATAGAGTTGCGTGATGTATGTTTGTTTAATTCCACTGGAATTTTATAGATACACTACCGCTATAAGTATTTCCTATTTCTAAGCTTCAAGATGGGGTGTCCTGCTGTTCTATGGTATAACACCTGGCTCATAACCTATGTGATCCGGGATCACTCTCCATGCAGCAGCTAGACGTATGGGCAAGTCACATTATACTTGTCTCTCCTCACCTAGTAGTGAATAGGTATCTGGTAGTTAGTTGGCCATTGTGGGTTTCATTCTGAGGAGTTGATAGTATATTTACTTTAGATATGAATGATCTTTAAAATTACCTAAACTAGAACATTAGCTCTTATCATTTAATATCGACTGAATTAAAAAAATAAATGCTTCGCATATCTTTTGCGATGACAGGGTAGAGTAAATTTTGTACTTTATATACCGTTACAACTGAGGTAAATGCCTGATCCATATGACAATGCATTATTGGAAATAATAAATCTCTTCTCATTTCTTTCAGTATTAAAAAAATCACCTTTTTTTATATACAGTCATCTATGCGTTAAAATTTAATATTTTTTTTTCCATAATGTCATTTCTAGAAAAACTGGGATATTTCTAGGTAGCGAGAGTGGCCCACCAGTGTCGATCATTAACGTAGTACACGTACAGCGTTCTCAGAGAAGACCCTGAGCGAAGCGGTGTCGGGGGAACAGCAGTTAAGTATAATTGTTGGGTTGGTGTAGAGGCGTTTATCGAAATGTCTCATGTAACTAGAATCCTGGCTTTTCTTATACATGAAACTGATGTCTCAAATGAGTTACAATACGTGCAAGAACCTTGAAGTTTTAAAACATGAGTGATTATGCTCACTAAATTGGCCGATTCTAATTAATTTTATAATTGAGCTACGGGTATGGATATGCAAAATAAATGAATAGTTTCAGAAATAATAGTGATGCTACGTACAATACTTAACTAATTTATACATCTTATAAATTAACAATTATGCATCAGATGGATCATCAGTCATGCATGAGATGGGTTATCAGTCAGTTTACCAGGTATATTATTAGTTTTACTAGTAGCTTTACCTTTGTGACAGGCGGTAGTGGTTGAAAGTCCATGAGATCGTTAAAGCTGGGTCTTCCGGCTGCGTCTCCCAAGACCCACACCTTCCTGATAGTGCCGGACGGAAGACGGGAGACAGCAGTTTCCAACTTGTCAGCCACAGTGTAGTGCACCACGGCCCAGCAAATATCACTCACTTTCAATCCATTGACCAAATCATCTGTTCAATGAGCACCAGATGAGTTAGGTTAAACATACTCTTACTTCACACATGTTCACTCTAAATTTTTTTGTTAGAAAAGTCCAAAGTTAATTGCCTGTGAAACTTTTGTAAAGTGGCACGTGAATATGCAAGGTGATGAACTTTTTTTTGTAAGATTTATAGCAATCTAAATTAGAGATTCTCTACTAATTGAAATAGAAAGACAATGTATCATTGAGTCGTAAAGATGGCAGTCACACCTATCTTCAAAATAACGGCCACATATAAAATTAGATATAGTTGCTTAAGGCAAATGCAACATATTCCGTTTGCAAAACACCAGGGATATTTCTTGCCCAACAAGTGATACACATTTCCCGACTTGATGATTTCAATAAATCACTTGTGGTTATAAATAAATAACATGAAATGTGCGTGTGGAGAGAGGAATTTGTTGGTATATTGAATTATACGTGAATCGACGTCTGAGGAAGGGACGGTATGTATAGAGCAAAATTTTGGTTTGTTTAGATTACTCAGTTCTTCATGTAGGATCACAGCTTTGTATGAGAAGACCCACCTGTGCTGAGGTTGGGATTCAAAGGAACGAAGATAGCGCCGTGGTATATAACGGAGAGGAACACCAGTGGGTAGTCTACGTAGTTAGGGGCGAGGTAGAGAACGGGGTGACCTAATGTGACCCCGGCGCCGTGGAGACCTGCGGACACCCGTGGCACAAGATCACACAGCTCAGAGTACTTCCGCTGCTCCTGAGTCTCTGAGTTTACCTGAACATATCATAGCAATGGTCAGAGGTGGACGGCAGCGTAACGGGAGAGAGGGATGCTTGAATAAACAAAGTTGCCCAAATTTTACGTTATAGCAAAAAAATGCTTAAATTGACAAATTAATCCTGGAAGAACTAAAATATATATATTATATATATATATATATATATATATATATATATATATATATATATATATATATATATATATATATATATATACACTGATCTCTGGCTGAAGGAGACTCGAACCTATGAACCTTAGGACAAGGTACGCAGTGCTTTACCAATCTACCCACACTGGACAATACTTTGGCGTGTAGCATGCGCTACACGTTTTGATCCAAGGCAGCCAGCTTACAGGTAGAAGGCTTACAGCTTTTCATCTCATCCCCTGCATGCATCAGCCTTACTAGAGATTTGAACAATGCAAGGAATTCGCGAGAGCAGGCGAAATATACACAAACACTGATCTCTGGCTGAAGGATACTCGAACCTACGAACCTTAGGACAAGGTACGCAGTGCTTTACCAATCTACCCACACTGGACAATACTTTGGCGTGTAGCATGCGCTACACGTTTTGATCCAAGGCAGCCAGCTTTCAGGGAGAAGGCTTACAGCTTTTCATCTCATCCCCTGCATGCATCAGCCTTACTAGAGATTTGAACAATGCAAGGAATTCGCGAGAGCTGGCGAAAAATACACAAACACTGATCTCTGGCTGAAGGATACTCGAACCTAGGAACCTTAGGTCAAGGTACGCAGTGCTTTACCAATCTACCCACACCAATCTACCCACAAAACGTGTAGCGCATGCTACACGCCAAGGTATTGTCCAGTGTGGGTAGATTGGTAAAGCACTGCATACCTATATATATATATATATTATATATATATATATATATATAAATAATATATATATATAAATATATTATATATATATTCAACAAACCGGCCGTATCCCACCAAGGCAGGGTGGCCCAAAAAGAAAAACGGCAGTTTCTCTTTTTAAATTTAATAATTTATACGGGAGAAGGAGTTACTAGCCCCTTGCTCCCGGCATTTTAGTCGCCTCTTACAACACGCATGACTTGGAAATAAATGGTCTAAAATACCGACACAATGGAAATATAAACACATATGCAGTTTAATGTGATCCTTTATTGACAACGTTTTGCCCACGCAGTGGGCGATTAATTTTTATAGTGGGCCAGAAGAAGATAAATTATGTAACATCACAGTCACTAGTGAAATGGTTGTGAAGCAGATAGACCAATTGAAGCAAAATAAGTCACCGGGTCCTGATGAGGTTTTTTCAAGGGTTCTTAAGGAATGCAAAATGGAACTCTGTGAACCATTAACTAACATTTTTAATTTATCTCTTCAAACAGGTGTAGTTTCTGATATGTGGAAGATGGCTAATGTAATTCCTATTTTTAAAACAGGGGACAAGTCGTTACCGTCAAATTACCGCCCAATAAGCCTGACCTCAATTGTAGGCAAATTACTAGAGTCAATTATAGCTGAGATTTAAGAAGCCATCTCGAAAAGCATAGCTTGATTAATGATACTCAGCATGGATTCACAAGTGGCCGGTCTTGTCTAACTAATTTAATAACTTTCTTCAGTAAAGCTTTTGAGGCTGTTGACCACGATAAAGAATTTGATATTATTTACTTAGATTTTAGTAAGACTTTTGATAGAGTTCCGCACAAAAGACTGTTAAAGAAAGTGGCAGCTCATGGCATTGGGGAAAGGGTGCTCCCGTGAATCGAATCATGGCTCACAGACAGAAAGCACAGATGTCCATTAATGGGTTAAATCCGAGTGGGGATCGAACAAGCGGCGTTCCACAGGGTCAGTCTTTGGCCCGTTGTTGTTTATAATATATATCAATGATCTTGATGAAGGAATTAGTAGTGATATGAGCAAATTTCGCTGATGACACAAAGATAGGTAGGATAATTGATTCAAACGTAGATGTTAGGGAACTTCAGAAAGATTTAGATAAACTCTAATTCTTGGTCAGAAAAGTGCAGATGCCAGTTCAATGTAGATAAATGCAAGGTTCTGAAGCTCGGGAGTGCCCATAACCCTGGTACTTATAAGTTTAAATGATGTAGAACTTTAGCCATACAGATTGCGAAAAGGACTTGGGGGTTATGGTGAGCAGCAACCTTAAACCAAGACAGCAATGCCTAAGCATACGTAATAAGGCAAATAGATTACTGGGATTTATATCAAGAAGTGTAAGCAACAGAAGTCCAGAGGTCATACTGCAGCTTTATACATCATTAGTAAGGCCTCACCTAGATTATGCAGCTCAATTCTGGTCTCCATATTACAGAATGGACATAAATTCGTTAGAAAACATTCAGCGTAGGATGACTAAATTAATACATAGCATTAGAAATCTTCCTTATGATCGAAGTGTATAAGTGGAAGATAGGTACTAATAAAGGGGATATTAGTAAGGTCTTGAGGATATCTCTCCAAGAGAGAACCCGCAGTAATGGATTTAAATTGGATAAGTTTAGATTTAGAAAGGACATAGGAAAGTATTGGTTTGGAAATAGGGTAGTTGATGAGTGGAACAGTCTACCTAGTTTGGTTATTGAGGCTAGGACTTTGGGTAGTTTCAAATTTAGGTTGGATAAGTACATGAGTGGGAGGGGTTGGATTTGAGTGGGACTTTCACATCAGAGCTTATTTGTTGGGTAGCATTGACAATTGGGTTGGTCAAATGTTTTGTTAGTGGGATGAATTGTAAAGGACCTGCCTAGTATGGGCCAACAGGCCTCCTGCAGTGTTCCTATTTTCTTATGTTCTTATGTTCACAAACAGATCTACCTGCAGCATTCTCCACCTGATCTCAACATTCTGAACCTGACTATAATTACTCGCGTACCTTCCACCCCAGGTAGATCTGTTTGTGACTTGAAAAAGCCCACTGTGTGGGCGAAACGTTGTCAATAAAGGATCACATTAAGTGCATATGTGTTTATATTTAGACTCATGGCTTACGGAGGAAGAATTCTGTTCCACTTCCCCATGTAACAAGAGGAAATAACAAGAACAAGAACTAGAAAGGAAATAGAAGAAAACCCAGAGGGGTTGTATTTAATCCTTGCACATGTATGTGTAGTGTGACCTAAGTGTAAGTAAAGTAGCAAGACGTACCTGAAATTTGTAGTTTAGAGACAGAAAAAAGACACCATATATATATATATATATAAATATATATATAATATATATATATATATATAATATATTTATATAATATATATATATAAATATATATAATTATATAAATATATAATATATTATATAATATATTTATATATATATATATATAATATATAATATATATATAATATAAAATATGTAAATATATATATATATATTTAGGTAGTGGTTGGTAGACAGCAACCACCCAGGGAAGTACTACCGTCCTGCCAGATGATGTGAAACAAAAACCGTAACTGTTTTGCATGATGGTAGATTGCTGGTTTCTTTTTCTGTTTTCATAAACACGCTAAGAAACAGGGATATCTTGCTACTCCTACTTACACTTTGGTCACACTTCATAGAACACGCACATGCATATATAATATATACATACATCTAGGTTTTTTTTCCTTTTTTCTAAATAGCTCTTGTTCTTTTTATTTCTTCTATTGTCCATGGGGAAGTGGAAAAGAATCTTTCCTCCGTAAGCCATGCGTGTCGTATGAGGCGACTAAAATGCCGGGAGCAATGGGCTAGTAACCCCTTCTCCTGTATACAATTACTAAAAAAGAGAAGAAGAAAAAACTTTATAAAACTGGGTTGCTTAAATGTGCGTGGATGTAGTGCGGATGACAAGAAACAGATGATTGCTGATGTTATGAATGAAAGAAGTTGGATGTTCCTGGCCCTAAGCGAAACAAAGCTGAAGGGGGTAGGAGAGTTTCAGTGGGGGGAAATAAATGGGATTAAATCTGGAGTATCTGAGAGATTAGAGCAAAGGAAGGGGGAGCATAATGTTAAATGATCAGTTATGGAAGGAGAAAAGAGAATATGAATGTGTAAATTCAAGAATATGTGGATTAAAGTAAAGGTTGATGCGAGAAGTGGTCATAATAACGTGTATGCACCTGGAGAAGAGAGGAATGCAGAGGAGAGAGAGAGATTTTGGAGATGTTAAGTGAATGTATAGGAGCCTTTGAACCAAGTGAGAGATAATTGTGGTAGGGACTTGAATGCTAAAGTAGGAGAAACTTTTAGAGAGGGTGTGGGAGGTAAGTTTGGGGTGCCAGGTGTAAATGATAATGGGAGCCCTTTGATTGAACTTTGTATAGAAAGGGGTTTAGTTATGGTAATACATTTTTAAGAAAAAGAGGATAAATAAGTATACACGATATGAAAGTAGGGCGAAAATGACAGTATTTGTTTGGGTTATGTATTTGGGAGATAAAAGACTGTTGAGTAATTCAGGATGTACATGTTTATAGAGGGGCCACAGATATATCAATCACTTTCTAGTTGAGCTAACTGAGAGTAAAAGGTTTAAAGGGATACAAGGAGAATAAGCATCAGGGGAAAAGAGAGGTAAAGGTTTATAAACTAAAAGAGGAGGCAGTTAGGGGAAGATTTTAAACACTTTGGAGGATAGATGGGCTAATGAGAGCATAGGCAATGGGGTCGAAAAGGTATGGGGTAGTTTAAAAATGTAGTGTTAGAGTGTTCAGCAGAAGTTTGTGGTTAAAAGGAAAGTTTGGGGGCAGGAGGGAAGAGGGGCGATTGGTGGAATGATGATTAAAGAGGGGTAGTAAGGGAGAAAAAGTTAGCATATAGAAGTTTTACAAAGTAGAAGTGATGCAAGGAGGGAAGAGTATATGGAAAAAAGAGAGAAGTTAAGAGATGGTGAAGCAATGTAAAAAGAGAGCAAATGAGAGAGGGGAGATGTTTCAACAAATTTTGTTGAAAATAAGAAAAAGTTTTGGAGTGAGATTAACAA